ACACACACACACACACACACACACACACACACACACACACACACACACACTTCGATCCTTTCTCATCCCGGTCCTCTTCTAGCACATTCAACTTTGTCAGATTAAAAAATCTTATCCACCATCTCTATTTTGTAATGCTCTTATTTTTCCCTACTCTTACCCCAGATTTTGTAATCTTGTATGATGTTTCTGTGTGAGGTGAAATCTAGATCCTACTCCTTTGCCTACTTCTTATGAACAGAGGGAAGACCATACATCCTAAACCGCTTCTGTTATAGCTGTATGCCCCTGGTTTGTGAGGAACACATGTCACTGATCTGTAATGGGTTGCTGTAATTGTGTCATCACGATTCACAGGGTTAACATTTTAAATACAGATCAATAAATACATCGGGTCAGTCATTGATGGTGAAATAGATAGCAAGGTCAAGTAGTCACGTACCATCTGATGCGAGTACATTGCAGCAGAATTTGAATTCTCACTACAACGTCATCCCGGGTATTCAGTCGGAATCCGTTTTCTTAAACTTTACTATCTAGTTTGAACTAAAACAACATCAAGTAAGGTAAAGGCATCAGCGTAGTACAAAAGATAGGTAAGAGGAATCTATTTTGTCATTTTTTCTCTCATAGAGGCGAACGGAGGTCAGACTGAAATGTTTTCGCTGTATATCTGGATAATCCCAGTGCAGAACAGTCTCATGGTGCGAATCGCGGGTGAAATCGTACGGGCTTTTCAGATTAATTCGAACACTATTTGTGTCCAAGAATTCGTCAGCAAGTACGCACGTGTACGCTCGCGGTGCTATATATGGTCATTGCAGACCGAAGCGATACCTTGTTGAAGTCCCGCAATAATCCCAGGGGGCACCTGGTCGATATTTTGGATTCTATTAAATTTCAATAGTGGACATTGCAGAGGAACACCGCCTGTTTGAAAGACTAGTTCAAGTGAGCCATACACGCACACCGAGTTTGGAAGAGGGTGCAACCAGGACGGGGGGTGGACTTGCTAGTAAAAGATTCGATTGAAGTGTTGTGCGCAGTACAATTGTGCACACGCACACATTCAGTCAGCTAAAAATTGTATCGGACTTCAGGTACCTTGGGTCCACCATCTTGTCCAATGGACAAACCAAAGATAATGTATAGCGGCGCATTGAATCGTCCCGAACGGCGTTTCTGCAGCTCCGAGATCAGTCTGATAATCAAGCTCAGAGTGTTGGCTGCAGCAGTCCGACCAGTCCTACTACACGGCTGCCGAGATCCAAAGACTTCAGAATATTGGGAGTCTTCGATCACTGGTGTCTTATATTCATCTTAAAAGCAAACTAGTGGGAAAGAATCACAAACTCTTGCCCGTCTCTCAACTCCGCCGACTACAATGGTTGGGCCATTTACAAGTATTGTCTTGGCACCGTCACCTTGTTCTGTCTGGCGCCGCCAACAAGCGGGGGAGGGGCAATTAAAAACCTGGCTGGAGATACTGTATTCGAAGACGTCGATCAACTTGGCTTTCGAATGANCCCGCCGATGAAAAACAAACTGCATTAAAATTTGCAAGGATCTTGCATCCAACAGCCAAGCATAGGTGGCGGCAATCAGAAGCATTCATGAAGCCGACTTATCCTCTCCAAGGAGTCAGCTGTAGTAAAGCAGATTAAAAAAATCTTCCTAACTCCACCGTTTCGTCTCCGACTTGTGAAAGGCAGTCCTTGATTCAATCATCCTCTCCCCCTTAGTCAATCATCTTCCCAGTATCCGTTTCACTGCAGCGTCAATTGCCCTCAGGTATGCTTAGCACACAGCCGTTCAACATACAAGGTAGCGTTGATGCTAAACAAATCTGGCTGCTCTTAGTGCTCCAGAAATTTTGCCGAAGTATTGTCAAATCCGTCAATCTCCCGAACGTCAACTTCTCAGAGATTATCAGCACATGGTAGAAAGATACGCGCAAATGTAACACATACATTCGAGTTACATTTGTATTCGGCTAACTCTTGTGAAAGGACAAGACGGTTTCATGGATGTCTAGGATAGGACCAGTCACAAAGGATATATATGTACGGAGTCGGATCGGAGAGAAATCCGGTTCATTTCGTATTACACACTTTGGTGTAATCAACGGCAGGNCTCGCTATGACTTGCTGTTCAGTGATAAAAACCGGTAACCTTAGCCCCGGGACTTGGACTGGGGAACCGCATAGGTTAGGCGTGATATAAAACCGCGAGAGGCAGAGAAACGAGTTTGAATCTCTCGGCTTCGGGCTTGGTCCACCATTTCCAAAGTTGGGCGAGAAGTGCTGCTGTGGAATTTTTCCATGTGGGTGTCAAAAGACGTGACCAAAGCATTACAGTTCACAATGTTTCGTCTTTGGATCATACTTATCGTACCGAATCATTTGAGATCGTGTCAGTCCAGGTTGCCTTGAGGATCTGTCAAAGACACCAGTTATCAAAAATGTCCAGCTTTCGTACGTACTTGAGTGGCAGTGGTTTCGTTTTGCAGCTCAGATGACTCGGACTTTGTCTCAAGGGATGTTCTTATCACGTGTCTAGAGTGTCTTGCCATGTTGCAGAAAAATATTTACTGCGCTGTCAATGGGATCATTCGAGAGGATCGTGGATCCTCNGGGGGGGGGGGGGAGGGCGCGGAAACCGAGAAGACGTTAGTCCTCGATGTGTTTGCTCTATTTTCAGCCCTGTCATTTGCGAAGAGCGTTACACGATTCGAAATTTGTTGTATGATAGCTGGACTATCTCCTAGAATGACGATATCGTCTATGAATTCTAAATCAACTATGAAAGCTTCCGAGCTTAGTTGGACACCTGAGTAGTGAAGGAACGGCTACGTCATTACCCACTCAATAGTGTAATTAAATCGCGTTTGTAATGAGAGACAACCCTATCGAATGCCAGAGTGGAGCTAGGAACCGTTGTTTTCTCCGTATATGCGCATACTTGTTCGCGTAATTGCATGGCATAATCTGGTGTGAATGATAAGCTTTTCAGGTATAATGTCTGCTTGTGCAATGGCTCATCGAAACAGTAATAGGCGGCTGTGAAATCAACGAGACAGACTGAAGTTGGTCGGCAAGACTTAACACGGGTGCACTACAACACTTAGTGAAGGGTATCTAATCTGTTTGCGAGCTCTTTTACGGCAACCCTTCTTAAGTGGCGCTGAGGCCTTCTCATCCCATTTTCTGTGCTTCCCCAGGCAGCTTTTGTGTGGCTGCGGCGTCCTTCCCGAACGTTTATTGTACTTTCATGTAATCAATAAACAGGAGTGTAAAAAAAACTTGCCTAGGTTCGACAAGAACATGGATTATATTTGTTCCTCGTTAGCTATCACATAGTCGTCACTTTTCTTGGCTAGATGTAGTAATACTACAGTCCCGCAGTCTGTTGCGAATCACTGATGTTGCCAGAAGTAGTGTGACGGGTCTCTAATATGGCCGGAAGGCACAATTTATGTTTCCCGAATGCGACATCGTCTACTCTAAGGGTTTTCCGATTACTTACGACTCGAGCAATCTCCTTGCGGGTTGGACGATTGAAGCTGATGTCCTGGCATGCTTTGACTGGATTTCAGAGCTTGTCGTGAGACGATCGAAATTCTCGGGAAAACACTCCTCTGAATGATTTACGAATGCTTGTCACAGCGCAATGGTAATGATTGTAGTATCAGTAATAGTAATACGCACCGAACTACGCAATACGAATCAAGAATTAGCAATTACGGACTGGATCACGTAAGCACTGGCACTTGCATGCAATGTCCCACGTAATCGAGACGCGAGGAAAAGGCCACAGGAGTATTAGTTCATTTATTGGGAGAAATGAGGGCGATTAAATAATATGTACAAAGTAAGTTCATTGGTTATCCGGGCTTCTACCAATCGCGTTCCCGTATTGCTTGCATCCTTCTGGTTCTGTGGGCCGCACGGTCTCTGATTGGCTGGTACGATCTACCTGTGGCTGTAGTTAGAAGCAGTGGCAGGTACGCGCTTTGCTGACGTCACCCGTGGAGTTTGATTGATCGATTGTCCAAAAACCGTAACGCATCGCTCCAGGCTACGCGTCATCTTGTAAGCCCGGATCGCCACAGAAGTTCATGGTAAAATAGAATTTTTCTAACACTGCCGTTCGTCTTGAAGTCCCTTCTCACACCATTTCTATGTGCAAGTCCGGGACAGATGATCGGCAAACATGCAGAAAACCGAGGAAGAAAACTGTTCGTTGTAATACAAAAAGACTCTTCAACTGTCCTTCAGTAGGTAACGGGCTGTTCTGGTCACTTGCCAGAGCAGCTTCGTCCTCGTCGTTTCTTAGAGATAAGATTGTCTCTGGCAAACTGGTCACTATTTGTTTCCACACGGGTTAGGTATTTGCCTATGTTTCCGATCCTGCTGTACCTCCATCCCCCACTGTTGATTCGCTCACTACCCATCACGGTCCCATACTTTATCCAAAAGGCACAACAAGAATGTCCGCCGGGCATGATGTTACATCCAAGCCACCTGGTTCAGCACTTGTTTCCTTGTCGTAAGCGAGAAGCATCCCGTGATTTTGACAATTACCATCACATCTCATCCGTCTCTGATGTCATGGAACTGGCGATTGTCATAGAACTTCGGTGTTACTTGGACTGCCGAGAAATCTCTCAAAGAATGTCAATACGGGTTCGGCTGCTACAGGTACACTGGCAACCTGATGGCATACAAATTATGTAATAGTCGAAGTAGGTACGCATTACGAATCACGGATGCAACTGAAACACTGAACCGCACTAACAATAATACGCTGGAATCTTCCGTCACACAGACGCAGGCAAAAGGCCACAGTAGTAGTGGTTCATTTATTGAAAGAAGTCATTGGGATTGAATATGCAAATTGAATTATCATTGGCCAAACGAATATCGGCGAATCATCGTTCTCATTCTTTAAGTCACACGGATTCTGTTTAAACTGTATGTCTACTGATAGATTGATACTGTTGGTCCATGACACAATGCCCGGAAACTGGAACGCGTAGGCGCTTGGCTGGCATCATCTCAGAGGGCTGACGCACCACAAAGTCACACATTTGATCCCTTGCCGTGGACAATCATGACCAAGTGCGTCTGTTCTCTCTTTCGATATCTCCGGCCGTGCAACCGAGTTTGTCATGACGGGATCTGGGAGGAACTTCACAAGTTTGGTCCTCGGCTTCGTATCTCATCGTTTGAATATGAAGCTTCCTTGGTGACCATTGGAGTTGATTTAGTCCTTTCAAGAAAAATCCCAGTTAACTCCGGTCTCCTAACAGTTTCCTTACAATCTCCCACCCTAAAGTTTCTTCTAATCAGTCACATTTTATCCCTAATCTTTAATCCTAGCCATGGATTGCCAATGATGATACCCTACTTCGCTCTCCACCATTGCTGACTGTTTACGAGAATGTACCAACTACTTTTAAGTAGTACAGTGGATTGCATCGTAACAATTACCAGGACTTCCATGAACGTGATGGTAAGTGATAAGGAACGCCATTTTTCCCGTTTGTTTCTATTCCAAAAGACTTCTACACTGTTCACATGGACTCTGGGTGATTAACAACCAGATGTAAATACTACATGCTCCTGTACGTGCATAATGTAGCCGCAAACATACTGCCTATCTTCCGGTAAAAATTCTGGGTCTTGCAAATCTTCCACACCAGGTTCGCCTCCATTTGGGAAGCTGTATACTATTTCTTAGGATCATAAATAAACACAAAAGTAGCGTTTTATCCCATTTTCATCGTACTATTCATGTTATATCGATTTATATTCCTTTTTCAAGGCATTTTGGCTCATTTCTTTAGAAAAGAAAGTCTACACACGGAAAATCAAGTGAGGGTATTCACAGGTAGTCTCCACCTTTCATTCACTTCAAATATGAATACAATAGCTGCGGGGGATTCCGAAAGTCAATTAACTTTCAACGACACTCAAACCTTTGGCGTCTACACCCAGTAAAAGCAATTCAAGTATCCACAATCTGCACTTTGCTTGATTCCATGTCTGAAGTTTTGTTTAAACTCCAATTTCCCTCCTCCATATATTCATGTATGGTTGTCTCGAATATGGCTGAATCTGAAACCAGTGTACTCCAAAAAACCTTCTTTCATTTAGCAAAAAATAATAATAAACAGCTCTCTCTCTCGTTCATTACGTGCATCAACAGAACACGACCCAAAACAGGCCGCGAGGTAACTTAATCGGGAGTCTACTCGATAATTTAAACTAGCTATGACAGAGCTGTTATGTTTGCCTCTTCGTTAATGTAAGCCATGAAAGAGAGACAGATAGACACGACGGTAAAATTTATTAATTATAACAAAAATGAAGCAAACATACAAATTATCCCACCAATTGAGGGTCAACAATTGGACGAGGCAAAGACCATCCGACTATCAACTATCATCCAGTCAGGTTCACCTAATCGATTGTCATGAGTACGGTAATCGCCTGCCGTACTCACTAACGTTCAGATGGATGTAGTATCGTTACAAAAAGTACGTATAAATAAAGCTGGGATAGCATTGTGCAGATTTTATGAGTCCCGTCAGTAAGGGGAAACACACGAGGATAGTGGTTGGGGCACCGGAACTACACCAGATTATTCGCAATGTCCTAATGGGGACCACCTTCAAAAGCCCAAATCGCTTAACATTCACGGTCAGTGTTCGACTGAAAACATTTCAAATCCGTCTAAAGCTGCTCGGCCAAATGACCGTGTGAGAAGAATATTACATTTCTCATTTGCCCTAGTTTGGTTATGATTTTCCACCTTGCCACGACCCCGTCCGCACAACATTGATAGGAAAACGCAGAAGAATACTTTGATAATGATGTGTTCAACTGAATTTGGAAATTACCTTAACAACCGTCAATTTGAATGCAATTGGCCATATCAATAACAAAAGTTTGTTCTGAATAGGTCTATCGAAAAAAACGGAGACGTTTCTGTGTCATCGGAGCGTTCACACGGGTTCGTTCAAAGCCTGAAACAGGATAGAACGTGAGTATTAGGCAAATCTATTCTGGTGATTGGTTTGTTTAACCAGGGGGGGGGGTTATACAATGAATCAGTTAGCTACTATCGCAAAGCTTTCAGTCTCAAATATTCACCTGGTAAAACCGAGCACTGCTTGGGGTCAGCCGCAGAAACTAGAAGGGGATGCACCAGTAGTATTGGGTCATGGTACCAACATTGAATAAGATAGGCCTCAGTGGAATCCCGATAAAAAGACAGTAGTCAACGGTCAGCTTTACTCTTCTGAGGGAGTATGAATAGTATACACTTCAATCTCTATTTTATTTACTTTTTGGATGGTGTAAATATAGAAATTCTAGGGATCAAACATACATCTGAATTCTGTATTGATAATCCAATTACCTCTCTCAACGGCTTGCAAAGATGCAGTGCTCATTCACCGAAAGTGTTCATCCATTCTCTGCACAAAATAGCTATAAATTAACAGGGTCAGTAGAGTATACAGTCAGTCTCCTGATAAGTTGCATTCTCCAATACGTTCTCACTTTTGAGCAAACTCAAATCAACAGTATATGTAGTAGCTCAGATCTTGAGCATGCAATGCCGACCCGATCCCCTCGATATGTCGCGTTGGATAGGATGAATCAGCCAGAACCAACTCAGTGCTCCGGAATATTGAATCCAGGCACGCTTGGACATTTGTTACACTTGGCAATTACTGATCAACGCTTTTATAAAAACTGGATTCGAACCGACACTGAATTAGTCGATAATGGAGCCACCCGGGGAAGAATACGATCTTATGTGAGATTTTATATGTGGCGTCTATTGATAACGATCCTGNCCATTGGATAGACAGCTCTTTCCGAGCCAGTCCAATGAAGAATCAATGCTATGATTCGATGTTTTGTAAGTGGGTTAGATGCTACTAACTGCAACGAAAGTGACCTGATGGTCTTGGTAGACTGGACTGGCTCGGAAAGAGCTGTCTATCCAATGG